GTGGTGGGTGGAGGGCGTGGGGGCTGTGGAAGGCTGGGCACCAGGGGGCTCCTGGGATGCGGTGGGTGGAGAGTGTGGGGGGCTGTGGAAGGCCGTCCTCTGGGCTTCGCTTCAGGCCAGGGCACAGGGATGAGGTGCACTGCGCCCAGCTGGCCCTTGGAGAGTGGCAGTGAAGGTGGGTGGTGGGCCACAGCGGGCCTGTGCCGAGGTGCTGTGGGCCCTGGTGCAGGCTGGTGGAACAGGGTCCCCCACCCAGGCCTGACAGGCGGGCCCTTGACTGGGGGCAGGGCCTCGCCCTGGGTGCTGACGCCTGCAAGCACCAAGAGGGGCATGTGTGTGGGGCAGTGCCACCCTGCCCACTGCCCGGGCCCCAGAGGCCCTTCTCCCACACCTTGGCATTCTCTGTGGATCAGGCCACGGGGCTGCCTCCTGGGACCTTTGCCTGGACAGTTAGTCTAGGCTTCCCGGAGGGGCAGGGGCCGGACACCCAGCCTCTCCCTGGCCGCGTCTGCCCCTGGCCCCTGCCCCTGCGCCCTGGCCATCCAGGCAACTCCCAGGGGTACCTCAGCCACCTCTGGGTGGGGGCTCGCTCAGGCAGCCACGTGGGGAGTGCACAGCTCTGGGTGGAGTGAGGGCTGCTCAGTCCTCGATGGTGTTAGAGGGCCCCCAGGTGCATCCTCCTGACTGTACCCTTTGAAGCAGTAAGAGGGGGCTCAGGATGGCTGAGGTAGGTTGGGAGACAGACAGGGGTGAGGCTGGAGGAGGTCGGCCCAGCTGCCTGCCCCACTGCCCTCACTAGGTAGGTACCGAGAGGGTCCTGTGGTGTCCGTGGGCAAGTCCTGCCCTGAGCTGTGGCTCAGGAGGGGCCAGGCTTCTGGTGCAGGGCCCTCCACCCCAGGGCCCCCCACCCCGGTTAGGAGCCTGGCCAGTGCCCAAATGGCTAGGTGCAGTCATGGGCTGTGAGGCGGCTGAGCATGGCAGGGCCCTCCTGGAGCTGGGTTCCACTCCCACCACGGACGCTGAGCACCGTCTGTGGACGTGGGGACAGTAACAGACGCACCTCGTGGGTGCTGTGGGGAGCGAGTGTGCCCTGTGTGAAGAGCACCCAGCGTGTGGTGGCTGCGCCCGTGCTCCCCCGGGAGGTGGCTGGGCACTCAGGCAGGGTGTGGGGAGAGCTGGGACGGAGGAGAGGGTGGAAACTGCGGGGTCAGGAGCGCTGGGCCCGGGGAGGGGCGGCGCCTTACAGAGGGGACGCTTGGCCGGGGCTCCCCCAGCCGCCCTGGAGACCTTGCCCGGGGGTCCTGGGACGCCCCTCGGGTCTTGTGGCGTCTCCTGAATGTGATGTGTCTACTGTTTCAGGTGAGCAAAATCAGCCTGGTGGACTTGGCTGGGAGCGAGCGGGCCGACTCCACGGGAGCCAAGGGCACACGCCTCAAGGTAGGGGCCAGGCCGCCGTGCGGGGTCTGCAGTGGGCCCGTGTCCACACCTGGCCTGCTCCAGGGTGGGCAGCAGGAGAGCTCTGCTGGGGGCCTGGGAGCCTGGGCCACCCCAAGGGTGAGCCTGGGCAGGGAGTGTTGGGCATAGGCCAGGGCCTTGGGCCACCAGCTGCTCTGGGCCGTGCCTGGGGCACCAGGGGCCTGGCGGGATGGTGGCACATAGGTCAGGGTCCTGGAGGGACAGTGACCTCTTGTGGGCCCTGAGAACTTTGCGCCCAGAGGCTGGGTATTCCCTGGGGAAGCAGTGCCAGGTCAGGAAGGAACGTGTCCCCTCCACCCCGCTGGCCTCAGCGCCTGATGCTTGAGCAGTGGCTCCAGAAGCGGCTTGGCGGGACACGGGATGGTATCCGGGTTCGCATGGAGCTGAGGGCAACACTGGGGGACACGCTCCCAGCCAGAGGCTCCAGCTGGCTTCCTGCCAGGTCACCCCATGCCGGTGTGGCTCCAGAGGTCAGCAGCTGGGGCGGCGGCTTCTGCCTCATAGTGCATGGTCCGTCCAGAGCAGGAGACCCCAGCGTCCCTGGTGTGCCCACCCCACCATCTTCTCTGCCCGCAGGAGGGGGCCAACATCAACAAGTCGCTCACCACCCTAGGCAAGGTCATCTCCGCCCTGGCTGAAATGGTGAGTGGCCCAGCCCGGCTTCTGCAGCCAGACCCCCCGGAGGGCCTTCCAGGCCCCCTGTCACCCCGGTGCCCAGGCCCTGTGTCTGGGAGGTGGCCGCGTTCAAGGGAGAGCCTGGAGATGGCCCCAGTGTCACATGCTGGAGAAGGGGTTGTGGCCCTGGTTTCTCCTGAGGGTCTCAGTTTCCCCACCTGTAAAGTGGGGCTGTGGCCACGGTTGGTCCCATGCGGCAGACCTGTCCCCCAGCACCACCCCAGACCCGGGCTCTGGGGAGGGGCCCCTGCCCCCCTGCCCCCCTGCCCCCCTGCCCCCCTGCCCCCGGGGAGCTGCCGTCCGGAGGCCTCAGAGCAGCAGAGCCAGGGCGAGGGAGCCCGGCCGCCTGCTTTTGTGCCGCCCCGGGCCTCAGCCCCTCTGTGTCTCTTCCTTTTCAGGACTCGGGACCCAACAAGGTAATAAGCTGCTTCCTTCAGCCCGGGGCAGGGGAGGCCGGCGGGGGGCGGGGGCCGGCGATGGTGGGGCGGGAGGGGGGGGGAGGCCAGC